TTATTGGTGATGTTAACTTTGATCAGTAGATTAAGGTGGGCCTGCCAGGTTTCTCCAGTATAAAGTTGCAATTTCCCCCTTTGTAATGATTTGTGGAGAGATACCTTGAGTCTGTTACACATTCTATTCCTTATCAAACTTTACCTACCATTTTTATCATCCATTGATCACTCCTAGCTTATTTCTGTGATAGTTGCAAGTGGTGATTTTCTAACTCTTATTATTCCTTTTGTATTTATTGGTTGGAATTCTATTGTAAAGAAGAGTTTTCCCTCTTCTCTCGTTTCCTTATTCATTGTCAGTATGGATACACAGATTTTAATTTTACTCATGGGTTATAGTCCATTACTATCCTTATATATATATTTTTTTTAATTATTATTTTTTATTGTGAAATACACATTTTTTAGAATTAGTTTCAGCTGTATCCTTATATATTTTTGATGCTCTAGTTTTCCCAGATTTGGCCAGCCTCCTTCAGGCTGGCTTCTTTGTCCTTTTGACACGTGTCACCTTTTTTTGAGTACTTCCTTACTTTTAGGTACAAAAAGATGTTCTAGACTCATCTTGTACTCTGCCTGCCCCAGTCCTGGAATCAGCCATTTCTTCAAGGAGCTCTGGCTCCTTAGGGTGGGACCCGGTACTTAGAAACAGGGGTCAGGGTATGTTCATTGCCACGGGGTGAGCACTGCTTCTAGGTCCTTTCATTGAACACAGGTAATAAGCACCCATACATATCTATAACTATTTCTACACATATATATTAAAAATCATTAACACAATCAGAAAAGAAGAAATCATTGCTTTATCCCAATTCCTGCAATTCCGTTTCAGCACCACAGGCTCTTCCTCGGCCTTCCTCCATTCCTTCCCTAGCACGTGGGAGCATGGCTCCCAACATCATCAGTGTGTTTATTCATCCCTCGGTCCTGCGACATGCCCCCTTAAAGTTCCTGAGTCTGTCTTTGGGCAAGATAACCTCTGCTTCCACCCAGCAATCCTATCTCCCCAGGTTCTCTTTTCCTCATACTTCATGTTTTGAAATAGTGCCCACTTTGACGTGCCGTTTGCTCTCACCACCTTATGGTTCTCAGGTGATGCTGAACACAGAGCGGCTGATCAAGCACGCGGTGCAGGAGAGGCTGGCAGTCACCGTGTGCATCAACAAGATTGACCGGCTGATCCTGGAGCTGAAGCTGCCTCCCACCGACGCCTACTACAAGCTGCGCCACATCGTCGATGAGGTCAATGGGCTGATAAGGTACAGGGACCTCAGCAACTCTGCTTTTTATGCATCTGAGCCTTGAACACCTCTGGGGGCAACTCTGATTTCTTGGCACGCGTGATGAGCCTGTGTGACAGGCCTAGGGGCTCCTTCCATGGCTCCACAGGAGTTGACTGCACAGCGTGGCCTCGTTAACTCTCTGCCTTAACCAGTCGTGCAGATTAACACCAATCTTCGATTTAATGTTGTGGTCAATACTGTGAGCTCTGGAATCAGTCTCATCTTCACCTCATACCAGCCCTGTAAAATTGAGCAAATTACTTAAGCTTGCGGAGCCTCCGTTTCTGCTTCTGTAAAAAGGGAGTAATAATAACAATAATAATTGCCCAGTGAGATGCATGAGAAATTAAATAGATATTTGATGTAACATACTTAGCACAGTGCTTAGCACACAGTAACTGATTGGTGAATAATGCTAACTGCTGTTATCTTATTAGTGCAGACTCAGTTGGCTGTCGTCTCTGGGTATAGCTGCTTTACAGAGGGGTTTACAAGGGCTTACATTAATAAGTATCAGCTGGGAGACTTTAGAATATAGTATCAGGGTGTCTTTGAAGAATAAGTTAAATATGTCTTAAAGACAGTTTTATCTGGGTGACTTCTTGAGGCCCTTCCAAGGGCTTGAGGGGAGGCCATCCTACCAACAGAACGCCTCTCCAGTTGAGGGCTGGGGACAGTACCTATATGGCCAGAGACAGATTTATATTTAGGAGCTGCTCCAGTTTACAGCATTGATTCTCAACAGGGATATCTTCTGCCTGTCTCTGAAAGGGCTGAGAATGACTAGAGCCCAATATAACATCAGTCCAAAATATGAAATGATAAACTTCTTTTAAGAGGGCTTCTTGGGGCCGGCCNCCTCTATAAATAAAATACAATTGGACCTTGTTGTTTTCATGATAAATTTAAATGCCTGTGAATGAGGCCAAGTGCGGCTGCAAGTCTCAGTGCAATAATTGTTCAGTCTCTGCCAGATTGACTGTTTTGACATGTGGGGGTTCCACGAAGGCTGGATATGTCTCCCTTTACCACTCCTAAGAATTCAGTACATTTGATATAATTTAGCTCTCCAGCTCTACCTGGTCTTCAGTGACCACCCCCACCCCCAAAAAAACACATCCAGCAGCATTTTCCATCTGGGAGGGCACTGGTCTCATTGTCTGGAATTTCTGTAGGGACATCCTGTTCTCTTCAATCTATCTTCTCCTGAGGCAGAAACCGTTGAGTTGGGAGGTAGTGAGGGAAAGTGATTGATGGCTTGTGTGGGAGAGGAGTCTGAATTCCGGTGGTAATGACAGTTCTTTTTTTTTCAGCTGTGCTACACCGACATCCTCTTCACAGAGCAAGAGGTACGTGTGCCTTGGAAAATCTGATTGTTGCCCACACCAGACCAGCAGCGGTGGTTTTTAAGGAATATAGGGAAGCCTTTATGATAACACTTTGGTCCACACTGCACCCCCACGCCCCCTTACTCCCACCTCTTTATCTCCTCGCTTCTCCCAGTCATCCCAGGATCTATAACTTGAGAGCTGGGGAGGCAAGCTATAGGGGAAAATCCTGTCCTTGACTGGATTTAATTTGGCTTAATAGGGCAGATATCAAGGTGATGTCTATATGCATGATTTTTTTAAATGGCATCATTTAAAAAATCTATAAGATGACTTCATAGGACGATCTCTTTCAGGAGTAGCTTGTCTTTGGGAATGAGTCCGTCTGTCTTTGTGCTTCTCTTTCTGTATGAAGGAGTGAGCATACATCTCTGCCTTTCCTATTCCAACTGGTTATCCTTTCTTTCCATCTGGATCTTTATTCCTCCCCTCTAACGCCTTCTCTTTCCCCCTCTCTATTTCTGGCTTTTTTTTCTTGAATGAGCACATGGAAAGCTCAAGTACATAAGTACGGTTAACTAAAGAAACTTGGAACGGTGCCGAAATATGATAAACAATCAGCAAATGTTAGCCGTTGTTGTTTTTTAATAGATTTATTTGACTGGAGTTTAATAATTATTCAATTATAGTTTTTATATTTTTTAAAAATCTAAAATGCCCCCAGATTTGTTTCCTTTTACTTACATGATGCCTGGTTATTATTTTTTTGTTTCCAGTGTATGAGG